ATTCTCATCGGTATCATCCTCCTCTTCAAGGCCCATCTGAGAAATGCCATTTTATCGTTGTGTTATCGGAATCAAAATTAACACAAAAATAAATGAGTATTGAAAATTAACCTTCTGCAACTGCGAAGCAATAATTTTACTCGGTGTTCCATCATCCACAACTTTGGCTCGATTTCCCGAGTAATTAATTGATGGTTTGTTGAGAAGAAGTAGTGAATAGTCTTTGATCGCACTTTTAGCTCGTCTTTTAGGTTGTATTTTAGTTGGTGTTTGTGTTCCATCTAAATTCAAAACAAATGAAAATAAACAACGAACAGATTGAATATAAATGAACATGCATGTCCAAACCAAAAAAATGGAGATAATTCGGAAGACAAGCAAATTAACCTTTGGGTGATAGTGAACCATGACGTGAAGATTTCACGTCTGCGTTACGTAGATTCGGTTTCATTTTTGTAAGCGTTATTGACGGTTATCCGAGTGTTAGTGTTCTGAATTAGTGGTTAAGATAACGAAGTGGATCCACGAACGTACGGAAATCTAATCAGTGTGCATTGTTTGAAAACTGAAATTGCCGCAAATGAATGCAAATTCGCATATGACGATCCGCAACAAATCGCTCGTTCAACCACTTCAGCAATCGGATTCCACTGTAGAAAAGGATCAACGCTGATCGTGAATGGGCGAACAGCATCTAGAATCTAGAGTTTTATTTCAAGTATCAGTGTGAGAAAACATAAAACCAACCCCCTTAGCCAAAAGACAGGAAGGTCTAAGCTTTAGCTAAAACCAGTCTAAAGTTTTCAATTGTCAGCGTTTTCCTGCTCGCTCAAAAGGTGATCATGCTGTGATAGAAAATGTGCCCAGTTCTTGAAGTATTATGTACGCTATTTTGTGAAAATCCCCTACAGTTAACTCTGCTACTTATAACTGGGTAATTAAGGCGATTGTGAGAATCAGAAAAAGATAAAAATAATCCTTGTTAGGATTATTTTTGAGTGAAAAAACAAAAATAAGCGAAACATCGGAATGGAACGAAGTGAAAGAAATAATATTTCTGTTCCTGGATTCAGTTAATTAAATGAAGTAGTGACGAAGAACATTATGTCGTTAAGTGAAGATTCCTAATGGAAGCCTTACAGTTCTTCTGTCCACCTATAATGAAGAAAGTTATCAACATGTTAGGTAGGTCTACCATCGCTTCTGAGTAAGCGCACCGTTATTGTGTGAGGGTGCGATTTTAAAACTCTCATAGTTTGAGGTCTCATAGTCAAATACTTGGATCGCATGTATGCACTCTCGAAATTGACTGGAAAAATTTCTAGTAGTTTTTGATTCCATGCTAGAAAATGTGCCCAGTTCTTGAAGTATTATGTACGCTATTTAGTGAA